CTAAAAACTATAAATTTAGCCTCTGTATCGATAATAAATAATAATGAATATTTCGATAAGATTTTCCAAAAAAATATTTAATGAACAGATTCGGCTTAGTTACAATTTTATTACAAATATGTATATAGTTAATACCTAACATAAAAGTGTTTCATGCTACGGAACATTCTACGAGTCAGACTCGCACTTGCCCTTTTTTTGTCTACTTTAGCAACTAAAATGAAAAAAATGCATACTCGTAACACTTGTGAGACAGTTAAATCTACGGTATTTTCCCTCGCAGGTCATATTCCGTCCTTACTTACTTTTTACTTCCTTCCTATGATTGTAGGCTGATTTTAAAGTATAATTGGACCCAGTTATGCAAAAAACAGCCATGTGCGTAAAAGTACCAAGAGAGCTATAAGCATTTTATAAAAAGTAAACAATACTTATATAAATATTGTTCAATTTTAAAATAACCAGAAAAACAAAACATAACCCAAGTGCAACTATCGACAGAAAAATGCTTATAACTCTGTTGGTACTTTTACGCACATGGCTGTTTTTTTGCGTAACTGGGTCCAATTTTTATAGTTTTTATTAACACAAATTTTAGGTCATTAGGCTTTGCTCGTGGTAGTGTTGTATTGTATGTACGACGACGTGTTTGACTCAGTTTGTAGTGACCCTACTTCCTGTGCCAGCGGTCGCGGGTTTGAGTCCGTATGATGAGCACGAATGTTTGTCTTCCAGTCATGAGTGTTTATATTTATTTATTTATTTATTTTATTTATTTATTTAATTCGTGGTAACAAAAATGTATACAAATATACTCCTTAATCTAGCAACAATTATTGTTTAACAAAACATTGGCAATGGAGTGCTGAGACGCACGCACTAGGATACCCTGTGTCGCGCACGTCTAACCTTCCACAGGACCCTCTTATTTAATTTAAAACTATAGCTTAAGGAGATAAGTTGTTACATACCTAGAAGTATATAATAAAAATTATAATAAAATATTAAGACAATGATAAATTAAGTTATACATTATTTTTAGGAATCCAATATAATAACTTAAAAGTAAGTTTGAGCGCGTGTGGGTGTGTGTGTGTGTGTGTGTGTGTGTGTATGTGTGAGTGTGTGTGTGTGTGTGTGAGTATGTGTGTATCCTGAGGTTATGGCATCTTATCAGTATCAAGTTATTACTTTTAGTAAATCTTCAGTTTCTGTGTAGTTTAGTCCCTTTAGCCAAGTTTTAATAGCAGACTTACATTTATTAGTTGTTAATGATAAAATATTAAGGTGTCGGTTTACCTTATTGTATAAACGCGGGCCGAGAACTTCAAAGTGTCGACTTGCGAGATATGTTCGGTACCGTTTAATATAAAAGACGACTGGAACTCTGCGATTTTTATAATTAGGATTACTACGTACTGCTAGTGGGTGAAATTTTAAGATTAATTTCAAAATAAAAAGTTGTCTTACTGATAACACTTTACTATCTTTAAAGAGTAGATGTGTAGGATATCTGATTGGTTTTTTTAAAATGATTTTAAGTATGGTTCTTTGAGCTCGTTCTAAGGGTAGAAGAATGGAGGTAGAACAGCCACCCCAAGCAGTAATACAGTAATTTAATAAGGATTGGACGAGTGCAAAATAGACCATCATTAGGAGATCTAAATTTGCAACATGAGAAATTTTCCTAAATATATATGAGAGTTTCCTAAGACGCTGTATTAGCATACCTATATGACTACGCCAGGAGAGAGAATTGTCAAGGACGACTCCAAGATAATTAATTTTATCCACTCGATTCAAGGATGGGCATGAGCAGATGTCAACATTACGTGGGCATCCATGAAGTTTTAGCGAAAACAAGTTACAAGGTTGTGAGGATAGCGTAGGAGAGAAGGTTATAAATTTAGTTTTAGCTAAATTCAGTGTAAGCAGATGAGTCGATAGCCAGTTTATGACTACTGAAAGTGCGTTTTCCGCAAAAGAACGTGCCTGTTCCCATGTTTTACCTTCTACAATAATGACTGTGTCATCTGCATAGCAGATAATTTTGCTATGAGGAATGGTCATACGACACAGGTCATTTATATAAATCAAAAAGAGGGTTGGACCAAGCACGCTACCCTGCGGAACCCCGTAGTTAACAGGCAGGTTATGACTTTTTAGTGTTCCTATTTTTACATATTGCTTGCGATTCCCGAGATAACTAGAAAAAATATCCAAGACATTTCCTCGAATGCCAATAGATTCAAGCTTATTTATAAGGATTGGGATAGAGACTGTGTCAAAAGCCTTTGAAAGGTCTAGGAAAATGGCAAGACATTTCTGTTTGGATTCAATATTATGAATAATTGTCTCAATGGAATGGTTAACAGCATCTTCAGTTGAGCTACCTGAAAGAAAACCGAATTGGTTTTCCGAGATAATTTTGTTATTACTAATATAAGAGACTAGGCGATTATTCAATATCTTTTCAAATAGTTTGGAAGTGGCGCTTAAGACAGAAATTGGCCTGTAGTTTGTAACATTTTCTCTATCCCCAGCCTTATATATAGGATGAACGACGGCTGTTTTGAATACATCGGGAAATTTTCCCTGTTGCAGGCATAAATTAAAAATATATTTAATTATAGGAACAACGGTTTTGCTGGCTCTCTTAAGTATTGATACTGGAATACCGTCCCAACCTAATGCACAGTTTTCTTTGAGAGTTTTTAAAACATTAAGAATCTCAGTTTCATCCGTATCGAGACACACCATAGAATTAACCAATTGGTGAGGTTTGGGAAAATAGGAAGAGCTATTGAGAGAAGGATGGTTAATATCGATTTGTGCAGCTAATTTCGAGCCTATGTTTGCGAAGAAAGCATTCACCGAATCTATGGATTGTTGTGGCGTAGGAGACAATTTAAGGAGTTCATTGGGGGGAGGAGCTTTCTGCTTGGAGTTTAGGATACTGTATACTGCTTTCCAAGTCGTCTTTTGATTGCCTTGCGCTTTTAAAAGTTCATTTCTTTCAAAATTTCTCTTTAAATTTCGGAGTAAATTGTTACAAAAATTGCGATATCGAATATACGTTAACTTTACTATAGCATTTCCAGGATTTTGTTTGGTTCTTTTGTGAAGCTTATCCCTATTCCGAATACATTTAAGTAAACCTGGGGTGATCCAGGGTTTTATAACTTGTTTCTTGTGTGACACTTTTACGGTTTTAGTATGATTACTTAAGACAGAAGTGATTACGTTTATAAAGTTATTAGCTGACGTATCCGCATCTAAGGAGTTGGTAACGGATGTAAAGTCCGTGTTTTCAATTTGAGAAACAGCCGCCTGAATATCGACTCGAGTTATAGTTTTTGAGGTCTTATAAAGAGCATTAGAATTACATTCAATACTAAGAAGGGTAGGGGCGTGATCCGTTATAAAGGTATCTAAAATAAGAGTGACTACATTCGTGTTAATTCTTAACAATACATGGTCCAGGCAGGCTTTATCACGCGTAGGAGTTAAATATGCTGGTAGATATCCATAAAAAGAAGTTGTCGTGAGGTAATCAATAGCAAATTTGTCCGGTATCTCAGGGTTAATGTCAATGTTCATATCTCCCAAGATTGCGACATTGCGATATGAGGACAGAGATTTCAATGTAGTGCTAAGACTATTTAGGAAACCCTCTGAGTTTCGATACGATGGAGGACGATATAGGCAAATTAGGGCTAGATTTTGATTGCATATTTTAACAGTTAAGCAGTTTGCTTCCTCAAATTCAGGCTCAGAGACACTGCATGTGATGTCAGCGTGAATGTAGACAACAAGGCCATCATTCTGATTACGGAAACCCGATTTAAACGAAATGAAGCCTGGTATATTTGGAATAATCGGTGTTTTACTCAACCAGCATTCGGAAAGGATAATTATGTGGCACTCAGTATTGATTGTACTAAGTAAGACTAAAAACTCGTCAAAGTTTCGGTTAACGCTCCTTATGTTCATATGTATAATATTAAATGGATTTTTAAACTTATTTAAATAAATTTTACAATTTTGAGGGCTGCAGCTATATGAGTCAGCTACAGAGTATGCGTCTAATTTATACGTTATATCGTTATTGTTAGTCATTAGGTGGGGATGTGAAACACAGACAACCTATCATAGGGGGCCAAAAGGATAAACAAACAAAATATACTGAAGTACACGGAAAGATGATTCTGGCTATTTGCCCAGGAAGTGAAAATGTATGTGTCATTATGTGTATGTGTAGATTGAGATTAGAGTACCTAAAAATAACATAAATACAGATATTACAATTATAAATCACCATTTTCAACATTATTTTATACAAAAGGGAATTATTAAATAAAACTATCTTTTCGGATTATTTCGCGGATTTATTTTGATTTTTGGTTCCCGACGTTTCGAATGCTTTACAGCATCCATGGTCACGGGAGAGACTGAGGTGTTACATGTCTTAAAGATATAGTTGTTACAGACAGCCTACCCACAATTAACAAAATGAAAATTGCACCAATTACATTACAATATTTTTAACTTTAAACATTTTTTATAATTTTAATTATAATTGAATATGGAAAATTATTTATTTAATTTTTGCTATTATTTTTATAATTACTACAATTTTAAAAATATTAATTAGTAATCTATATTTAGTGTTGCCATTATTATATTTATAACCATAAATAAAAATATAAAAATATAGTATTAATTATTAAAGCCATATAATTGTTCTATGTGTAATTTAAAAAGTTAAAATTAATTACGGATAATCATTTTAATTTAGTTTGCTATTATTTAAAAACAACTTACTAAGCAACACTATTAAAATATACTTTTTTTTTATTTAATAATGTCAAACATTCGCGTAAATCTAAGAAAGTATTATAAGAAAGTATTATCAAAAGGGAATTATTATATAACATTATAGTATTTCGTATATATTTATAACAATGAAAATTGAGGGAATAAGCACATAAAGATAGTCACAGTTGCTCACTTAACTTGTCTAGATCGCACTCTGAATCAATACGGATATGACGGGATCCTTCAGTTTTTCGTAAATATATTCTGCCGTTGGTAGTCCAGCAATATTTGTAGCTGTTTTTTGTCGCAAAATCACGTGTAAGGGAGAACAGCTTGCGACATTTAAAAGTAAGATGCTCGGACACATAGATAGGTTTTTCGGGGCCATCTAATTTTAGTAAATTTGTGTTGAACTTGTTTTTTTTATTGGTTTTATTATAGTTTTTAAAGGCCCCTAGGAAGCGATCTTTCATTGTGACCGTTGAGAAATCTACAATTATTGTTGAGTTATTATTTTTACTAGAATTTATTCGATAGATGTTTCTTATGTCGGAATTTCCGACCGTAATGTTTAGTAGGGTGCCAGTTTTTTCAATAAGATTTTGTAAATGTTCTTTTTTTTCCCCACTTTTATGGGGTACATTGCGGATGACGACGGCAGATATATTTTGGTTCTTTTCCAGATTTTCGATCTTTGTTTCAAGGGACTGTATATGAGCAAGGTGCGTCTTTTTATCCAGCTCGAGAGAATCTACTTTAGTTTTTATGTCATCGTATTGCATCGATATGAATTCTAAAGTAGCCCGAAAGTCATCATTTTGCTGTTTAATTGAGTTTATAGATGATTGAAGGAGCTCTAATTTTTTATTTTGCTGGCATTTGAAATCATCAAACAATTTCTTCATTTCATCCATTAGACCATAGCATTCGTCATCTTCGTTTAATCCTTCACGTTTTCTCTTTTGCTGCTTACGTGCTTTAGTTATACGTACGGGTGATTTAGGTTCGTCGTCGGCTGGCTGCGGAGTCTTACGTGTAGTTTTATTGGGTGAGGACTTTGTAGCTATTTCGCTCATCCTTATTTGTTATTATAATAACGGAGAGAGATAAATAGAAGCACTTGTTGCGTTATATTTATGATTTTAAAACTTCGGGTAGATAAGAATCTGTTACTATATTGCTGTCTATTGCGAGCCTCTTGTAGAAATAGGCTAAGGAAAAGGATGACTGTATAATTTAATAAAAGCGCGTACGCATCGGCAATTGACAACCAACGGGGCGGGCCTAGCGGACCTTCACATCCAATGGATCATTAATGGGTGGTAATTAACTATACAATATACGGTACACACCTCCTTGTTGCTGGTGGAGATACAGGGTGACAAATCACTGTGGTGCAAAAGAGATGGAACCATCTTCGGATTGGTATGGTGAGGTGCACTACTTAAACATTATGCTGTCCTGGTACAAGCGTATGATTTTACGAAAAATATTTAAAATTTAAGTATTTAATAAAAATATTACTAACACAGTCTTTACACACGTCCACTCCAAACGGAGGATCCGAGGGAAGCAAATTTATAATACGTATATATTTAAAGTTATATGTTTGTAGTGTATCAACTATCTGGTATCCATACCACAAGCCTCGCAGCTTACCATGGAACTAGATGCTGCTGTATTTTAATGTCCTAACATATTCATAGTGTTCCCTTCCAAGATAGTATCATTAAAATTAAAATGCTAGGTTGAAAATATCACCAATCCTGATACCAACAATCCGAAATGTATGGAAAAAAATCCTTTGAATGAGAATGATTAGATTTTATTAGAAATACCTATATACCTAGTTATCTTATATTATCTCATACATAGTATGTGTTTTTTAAACAGTGTTTCAATCAATTTCAATACAATATTAATTACGATACTGAAATATGTTATTTTTATAGACATTTCATAATAAATTCTAATGCAACTACTTCATAATCATGTAATTCGATATTGATTATGAAACCAAAAAAAGCAGAAGATTTGTTAGAATTAACTTCTATTGTGCAAGATGTGAAGTGAGTCAAGTCGATATTAAGTATACCACGTATTAATAATACATTCATATTATTGTAGCAACTCTATTAAATTATTAAATCGCCCAGCCATTATTAAATATGCATTTTATCGCAATAGGTGTTTGGAAGATCGATTGTAATTATTAAGATGTTTGTTAAATGTTTTAATACTAGCGACTTCACCTCGATTCGCTCGGGAGCATCCCTAGGTATGTTTTATATTCGTGGTTGTATGCGAGAGCGATCCCGTGGCGTCCCACATGGCGGCAGAGGGGGAAAGTTGGGTTTTAGTGGGTATGCCGGTACCCCTGGGGAAGTCGGGTGGTATCCGTAATAGGATTTCCCAACTATAAAAAAAAAGGTATGTTTTATATAGATAAAGAAATTATTGCGAGTGTACCTTAGAAGATACTCAGATGCTGTTCTAGACTTCTCTGTAGGCATTTTTAATACCTACGAATTTGTTTCATACTACATAATTATTGTTTAAATATAGATGAGCGACTTACGCGCGGAATAAATTTTGTATTTTCCCACGAAAAAGGAAGATTTTATACTGCTACTAATCGTTTTTGTGTAAATCATTGTTTTTTGTGTATTAAGAACCAGTTATTATATTTTCCCGTGGGAATGAGAGATTTTTCTGTAGTAAAAGGTATCCTAAATGTTAAAGCGAGTAATAAGTTATCACTATAAAAATTTTTTGCTAAAATGTATTCCACATTTTTTTGTATGAAATACCCACAGATATACAGACAAACATTCCAAAATGTTAGCAATCACTATTTTAGGATCTACTCGTATATTCGACACTCAAAACGTGGCAGTCATTGTTCTTAAAATTATAAAATTAGTGTTATTTTTTTATTATATGTATGGATAAAAAGATTAAAAATTGCACAAAATGGACACCGTTTCAACTTTGTTTTGCAAAACCGTATAAAAAACCGATTAGAGTTTCCTTACAGACTAACACACATATTGACACTCAGTTTAAAATATATCTAAATATTAACTCAAAAGTGCTTGTAAAATTTATTTAACTAAAGTAGGTAGGTAACTGTAAGCTTATTTATATTTGTATATTTGGGGTTAGAAATACGTATAGTTTATTTGTTACATATATATATAATATATATATATATATATATATATATATATATATATATATATATATATATATAAGTACATCATTGCTTACTGCGTATTGGTTTTTTTATTTCACACAGCAAGAAAAAGGTATCCATATATTTTATTTTGCATATAGATAAAGACAACAATTAATAAGGGTCACTAATTATGAATACTTTCTTAGATTTACGCGAATATTTCACATGTTAAATAAAGCTATCTTTTCGGATTATTTCGCGGATTTGTTTAGATTTTTGGTTCCCGACGTTTCGAATGCGTTACAGCAATCATGGTCACGGGAGAGACTGAGGTTTTAGATGTCTCAAAGGTATTATATAGTCGTTACAGACAGCCTACGCACAAAATAACAAAATTAATTCAAAAAAATCACTAATTACGTAAACAGGGACAGAAATCTTTGTTTCATAATGTACTTAAGTCCAGCAAGATCCTGTTACTTCGCCATATCTCAAAAGAAGCAATAAAACGCACAGCATTACCGCAATCATCGCATCAGATCGAAACTTCGCTCTACTGATGTAACGCGCTGGCTAGTGATCGGCTAGAGTCGATATTACCGCATCTACACTATACCAATATATAAAGATGAATAGTTTGTTTGTTTGTTTGTTTGAAGGCGCTAATCTCTGAATTTACTGGACCGAATAGAAAAAATCTTTTTGCGTTTTTTTAGCCTATTTATTGAGGAATGTTATACTCTATATTTATATTATACTAGCAAATTACCCTCGCTCCGTTCGGTTGCGTCCCTGTGTACGTTTTTTTGAGCGGAACCCTAATTATTTTTCTAAATAAAAGTAGCCTAAATTACTCCTAATAACATCAGCTATCTGCTAGTGAAAGTCCCATCAAAATCAGTTTTCACTTTTCAATCATTTATTTGTTGAATTATTTATTTGTATTTAGCCCAAATAACTAGTAAGCTAACATAGCAGTGGCCTCGTCGCATTTGTCACAGAACCGATGACCGATGGAGTAGACGGGTTCCAGAGTGGAGATCATGGCTCGGCAAACGTAGTGCAGAACGCCCATCTAGATGGAACGACGATATACGCAATATGACTGGCAGCGGTTGGATACGTTCAGCGAGAGCTGAAGATCGAGATCAGTGGTGTGCCATAGGAGAGGCCTATATCCAGAAGAGTAGAAAAGCAGGCTGATTACAATGATGATGATAGGCTTTCTTATATAATTATAACTCTAAGGCCTACGTGAGTGGAGTTATTCTATAGATACCTATTAAACGATGCGGACGGAGTCGTGAGAAATCGCTGTTTTAATATAAACTTTAATATACAGTATGTAAATTAAAGTATAAAAGAGAAAACGTTAAAACCAAAAAATCGTGAACGATCAAACAAATTATCACTACCTACTTGTTATTTGACGTGTTAATTTTGAAACCGTAATTTAGGATTTATGAACTAAAAATATATCTTTGATACTTTCGTTTATATTTTAAGCTTCTTAGTATTTATTTAGATAAGTAACTTCTTATGAGAAGTCCTGTTATTTCATCACGACCACATGTAATAGCTATTTCAGCCGAATAATGGCCGTAATTGTAAGTGACTGTAAAATTAACTTGGTTTTAGTGTCTTTAAGAAATACTATGAAATGAAAGTAATAAAATGAAATTATTCTAACTTAAAAATAAATATTATTGATGAATTTTGAACTTTAAAAAAATATTATTGGATAAAAACATAATAATTACGTTTTGTTACATTAGATACGGAACCCTTTATGGGATTTCCTCTCGCACTAACAAGGTTTTTAATTATTTTCAAAAGTTTACATATACCAAAAGCGATGAAATTCATGAACTAAAAGATTTTTGACTGCTTGAAACCCTGAAATTAAAAAAAAATCGAATCACTTTCACTCCACTCTAACATTCCAACGATATAGGTTAAATCCACGGACTCAGCGATAACCAAAGCATTGCAACATCACACAGTCACGGTGGCTTTACAATTGTCTGACCGGAGCGTTTCCTGTAAACGATTTGTGAAGACATATGTATACATTGTACCACATTTTACTCAATAAGAATTTTATACCATAGCTTAAATCATTATATATGTAAAAAAAATATTCAGCTCCAAAAAAATAAAATTTAGTATTAAAAAAATTGAAATACCATATCGATACGGACTTTAAATGCTCGACATTTTTTTCTTTAATGGCTTAGAGTTGCGTTAACGTATGTCATCCATTCAGCCAGTGTCACGTTTTGTGAGGAAGACACGAATGAGATTGAGCGGTAATTTTGAAATTTAGCAGCTTTAATGAATAATCGGTCTACAGGAGTAACTTACAATAATAGAAAGATAATTACACAATAATGCTTGCCATTTCGCGCGCTTTTCGTGACAGAAAAATGATATACACAGAAAAATGGCGACTCAATTTGTAGCGACAAGATCGCTAATCGCTCAGCTTATATACTCTGACGTCATATTCGGTCTGACCAATGGCGTTAGATTCAACTACTACGAATTTCCCACCTATATTTGCACTTTTTAATAATTATTTTCTTAATCAAAAAGAAATTAAAACTATAAACAAACAGTTGTTATTTTTTGATATTCAAATTAATTGTTCGACCTTAAATAAAAAAAATTGTTAATTAAAACTGTTTACATTTATCTGGTTTTGACATCTATCGGCACTCTGAGTGTTAGCGTTAACACGTCACGTGACCATGTCGATGACGACTTACATGAATTTACTTCCCATCCAAACCTGCCTATATAAGTTTTCACTTCAAAAAATTTCACCTTTAATTAAATCACACGGATATTCCCTAGTATTTTCTCTCTATATTAGTATTTCTTAAAGACTAGCACCCG